GATAGCTTTGAACTGATTGATGATGAATGGAACTAAAAGTGCCATTAATCGATGAATCAGAGATCAAAGTAAGATGTGAAGCTATAAGAGCAGGGATCGTAACGGACAAAAGTGAACGTCTGTTCTACGTGTCTTAACTGAGACTTATCTGAGAAATTTAGCGACACCGCACAGAGGTTTTCACTTCGTAATAAAGCTTAAAATTATTTATCACTGGAGGAGTTTCTTTGGTAAATTAGCATGCTTAAAGGTACATCCTGACGTGAGAGAAAAACAATGGTATTGGTACCTACCTGAGCGTAAGTATGTATATCCTTGAGTGTTCGCGTAGAAAGACTCTTAACAAACATTCAACAAGGAAACAAAACTGGATGAAGGTACTGTAATACCTAATTTACTTTAAAACTGCTAAGAGAAGAACCAAAAGACAAATCTCACTTATCTTAAATGTATAAACACTTGGTATCGCTCAGAGAAACCTTGAGCGAAATGGACTCATATCCGTAGAATTTGAGGAGTAAAAAGGCTGTAATGCCAGAAAAATGTGAGCTTCACACTCTTGAATGGATTCAAGATCACATAATTTTAGTGAAGCGACTTTAAATCGCTTGATTTGAACCAAAAATGAAGAGAGAACAATGATAGAATAGAATGGTGAGGTTTTGAGTTCTAAGATTGGATACATATTCAGAATTCACTTCACAATGAGGCGATGGACTTCCTGCTCCAGGTTGTAAAACACGATGATAATGATTGTCACAAACATCGTTGAAGTCGTAAATGGATTGAAATCATTGAAACCAAATGATTTCATTTTGTCTCGATCGTTCTTAATGTCCATGAAATAGCATACGAAATAGGAACTAACCTAACATTCGTGATTTGTTTTGTTGTTCCGCTCGTGAGTTGATGACTGCAGAGAGCACTAACACTGTTACTCTACCGTGTGTATGTGTTAGTGAAGTCGGGTTTCATGATTTTCGAGTTGCTGTCCAAGATACAGCCTAAACGGTAAAAGTAAACCCCAACTTATGTATAATTTTTGGAATCCTCATATCTTCAAGATGATTCCAGGAAATAACCATAACTTCATTCTAGAATAGTGTAAGCGAGAAATTCAATGACAAGCGTCGGCGGGTCGGGTCGCCCATTGCACCCGAAAAGCAGTTTAGACGCAATATTTCTCTTAGGATGCCTTGGATATTAATGAAACTAAAATGCACACTACACGGGAGCAAGACAATTCTTTTGATATAACATTATATAGGGCTCTGATGTCTCGTATTCTCTATAGCTTATATAGAACGTGAAAATGGTCAAAGTGGATACTTTTCGCTATTTTAGGCACATATGCGTAATTATCTCGTTTAATAAATCATCAACCTCCTTGAAACTCAACAGTTCGTTAGACGGGACCGAGATGCATCTTTAGACACCTAAATTTCTGAAATCCGTCGCTCCGTTGCTTTGAAAAGCTTTTGGAACCGCAACTAAAAACCCAAATAAGCCAAGTTCGTGTAACTATGGTGTCGTTGCCTCGACCGGGCTGTGCTGTGTTGCCAATTGTTGGAGGATAGGTTACTTGCCCGGTGGTGGCTACCGCCACTCATGACCCAACCGCAAGATTTTCCCGCAAAAATTTTTTACCCAGATTCACCCTTTGAATTTCTGCGAATTTTTGAAAATGAGCTTTGTTTTCAAGCAATAATCACGTACTTCCTAATTTTAGATCCTATATATTTTTCAGGTCAATAATGTGAGCCTCAGCATTAAATGGAAATCTTATGACACTTCTGGAGTTCTTTGTATGTGATTCACACAGATTTGATTTGCGACGTTGCCAAATTTACGTCAATTTTTAGAGTGTGCCACTGTACCACATTGAAAAATTTGTCCGTAATTTAGGCTCTTTACGGACTAAATATGGATCCTTACTGACACTATGAACCCTTCAGAAACCCTTCCCCACTCCAGAAGTGTCATAAGACTTCCATTTAATGCTGAGGCTCACATTATTGACCTGAAAAATATATAGGATCCAAATCAGGAAGTACGTGATTATTGCTTGAAAACAAAGCTCATTTTAAAAAATTCGCAGAAATTCAAAGGGTGAATCTGGGTAAAAAATTTTTGCGGGAAAATCTTGCCGTTGGGTTTTAGTTTACGAAAATCCTTCATTTTTAGCCCGACACAGCCCGGCACATATTCAGAAACTACTTCGTTTAGGAATTTTCCAGCGTAATATAGTGGCACACTCTATAAAAATTGACGTAAATTTGGCAACGTCGCATATCAAATCTGTGTGAATCACATACAAAGAACTCCAGGAGTGTCATAAGACTTCCATTTAATGCTGAGGCTCACATTATTGACCTGAAAAATATATAGGATCTAAAATTCGGAAGTACGTGATTTTTGCTTGAAAACAAAGCTCAATATCAAAAATTCGCAGAAATTCAAAGGGTGAATATGGGTAAAAAATTTTTGCGGGAGAATATTGCGGTAGGGTTTTAGTTTACGAAAATCCTTCATTTTCAGCCCGGCACATATTCAGAAACTATCTTATTTAAGCATCTTCATGGAAAATGCCCATTTTACTGAAAGGTTTGACAACAGCATATACATGCCAGACAATCAAATTTCTAATTATAGTAATATATATGTAAAAAGGGACTACTTACCATAAATAATGGCTGTCAATAAGCCTGCATATGTAGCTTGTACCTGCAACTGCAAACACACTTTGATTGAAAAGCTGAACGTAAACAATACTGAACTAAGCGCGCGAAACCGCTGGGTTTACCTTTTTTTCCTCGACCATCCAGTAGTGACAGGCGGATTCTGTTGTCACAATATCATGCAGTAGATATCAGAGAATCATTATTTACCTGTTTTACCAAGCTTTTACCACATTTTTTTTTTGGACTTTCCGCCAGCTTTTCGAGTATAATACTTCACTGTGCGGCCTCCTTGTGACTTTTCAGTTCGAGATTTTCAAATGGCATCCCCCTTTTTGTGAGACATCGTTAGAAAGAGGATAAAAAAACAATAATGTTTGCGCAAACCGAAGATCAATCCGTCTTTTCGTTCCCGAGTTATTCACAATTAAAGTTCAATTTGGGCTAATTTTCAAAAATTGATAAGTCCTTTTGGAAAAGTCGCAAAGAGGCCGTAGCAACCGATGTCATGACTCTGAGCGCGCTTTGAAACGGTGGAAAACGACGCCGATAATGTTATGCCAAAATGGGACGCCGATAATGTAAAATTTTCAGGCGGCGAGCCCCATACCCCGCCCCCCCCTCCACGCGAACTGATGAGAAGCACATCCCCCGATAACTTAGCTATGAATGAAATAGTAGTGCTACGAATTTTAACCCGTAGACGGCCTGCTTGTGACTTTTCAATTCGAGATTTTCAAATGGCATCCCCCTTCTTGTGATACATCGTTAAAAAGAGGATAAAAAAACAATAATGTTCGCGCAAACCGAAGATCAATCCGTCTTTTCCTTCCCGAGTTATTCACAATTAAAGTTCAATTTGGGCAAATTTTCAAAAATTGATAAGACCTTTTGGAAAAGTCGCAAAGAGGCCGTAGCAACCGATGTCATGACTCTGAGCGCACTTTGAAACGGTGGAAAACGACGCCGATAATGTAAAATTTTCAGGCGGCGAGCCCCATCCCCCCCCCCCCCCTCCACGCGAACTGATGAGAAGCACATCCCCCGATAACTTAGCTATGAATGAAATAGTAGTGCTACGAATTTTAACCCGTAGACGGCCTGCTTGTGACTTTTCAATTCGAGATTTTCTAATGGCATCCCCCTTTTTGTGATACTTCGTTAAAAAGAGGATAAAAAAACAATAATGTTCGCGCAAACCGAAGATCAATCCGTCTTTTCGTTCCCGAGTTATTCACAATTAAAGTTCAATTTAGACCAATTTTCAAAAATTTATAAGTCCTGTTGGAAAAGTCACAAAGAGACCGTCTACAGTACGTCTACGGCAACCTCTAAGCTAACGATTCGCGGCAAGCTAACCTTACCTAACAACACACCGCGCGTGACGTGAAGAAAAGAGATAAGAGGAACCGTGTTGTTTTCAACTTACGCCCACTATGGTCCACAGACCCTATTTAACGGAACTTTAGTCTTTTGAGGGTGGAAAAAATTAAAGTTTGGCACTACAGTTTTATCATACATACTCTCATGGGTCGTCACCTAAGTTTTCATCGACAAATAATGATTTATAAGATTGTGACGGACCCTAACAACAGAGCGCGCGGCAGGTCTTCATTAGCTGATTGTGAGCCGCATTCGGTGGTGCGTTACAGGGTGTTTATTTTACCGAGTTACGCCTCATCTATGTAAATTTTTGGGCAACATGGATCCACCTGATGGCAACCCTGCTAAAAATTTTTCATGGAATTCCGTGCTGGTTTTCCATGGAAAATTTCTCCACGTAAAATTGGGCACGGAAAATTTTTCCATGGAAAATTTCTCCACGGAAAGCACCACGGAAAATGTCACCATGGAAAATTTCTCCTTGGAAAATTTCTCCACGGCAAATTCTCACCGTGGAAACCTGCCACAGCACTCACTGTGTCTCATGCAGGTTTCCACCATCAAGTTACCATGGTGTTGTTTCTTTAAGTCATCATAGAACTGTTCTACTCAATGTTGCTGGTTTTTTTAGTATTTAATTAGATAATTTACAAGTTTTCCCTGTAATCAAAATAAATGAAAATGATACACTCACCAACTTGAAGACACATAGTACCAACTATACTTGACAGAGATGTAATAATTATTTTAACAATTGAGAAACTACCGCACTGTACCTTCGCGTCACATACTGCACGCTCAACGTTTCAAATAAGATTTCATTCAGTTGACAATGTGAAAACATATTAAAATTATTTCACAATAAGCACGGAAAACAGCACCAAAATATCACAACACTATCCAAATTAGAGGCCAAGAGAGTGAAATATGAACTGTAGATTTTGGTTTCTGTCTGGGAAGCTTAATTGCATCTAGATGGTTTAAAGGTTGCCACTAATTCCCTGCGAATGGCTGTTCGATAAGATCAAAGGAACTGCCAGATGATAGGAAACAAATGGCGATTGCTGCAGCTGAACAAGGCAGGTAAATGTCTCGGTGTGTTTTTGTGAAAGCTCTGAAAAATGAATAATGTACAGCGCATCAAAACCATGAGTACAACCAATGATCAGCACTAAATTAAAACAATCTCAAGGTGAAGCCAACCAACATTTCTTAAGAAGTTAAAATAAGTTCTGAGGATAGCCAAATAATTTTTAGTAATAGGACAAAATACTTGTGAAAAAGCATTGGTAAAATTGTGTGTAAAAGCAATTATTGCATTGGTAGCCATAAAAATAGGAAGTAGGTAAATTATTGGACATCTGATAATTCACTGAAACATCGTTGATAAGGATGTGATGTTTTAGCCCTCTAGAGTTAAAAGTTTAAGGCCTCATCTGTAACTTCAGATATATCTCTCACACTACTTACATTTCTGAATAAAAATACCAAGTAATAGCTAAGGCTCAATTCAGACGTCACTTTTCCTTCACTCATGTCAAATGAAAAGTTGGATCGTGTAACACAACACGAGAACGCAACGATCATTTGAGAGGTTGAACAAAAGTTTGAAAGTCAAGTCACACCAAGGTTTCCGTTCAACTTCTCAAACAAATGTTAGAGCTCACACATCATACGTTGAGACAAACGTCAAAAGTATTGTTTAAGTCACCATTCACCAGTGGTGCCACCTGACTACATGAATTTACCTGTTGAGTGGTGCGAATTCAGAGCTAATCGGAGAGAAACATTTGTTTCAACATACGATGAGCGAGCTCTATGTTCTCATGTCCGTATCAAACGATCCAACTTTTCACTCGGTATAAGTGGAGGAAAGCTAGACTGTCTGAGGTGGGTTTTAGTTTCCATCACACAGCAAAAAAATCTAGAAGGGCCTGTATTTAAGGTTTCTTTTTCAGTTCTAAGTAGTTCTCACCTGTGAATTTTATTCACAATCAATATGGGTTTCGGCAAACGATAGGAAATGGCGATCTCATATGATCTGACAGATATCTGATATTATCCCTGAGGAGGACGATGACATGAGCTGATGAGCAGCTAGGAATGGAATGCAGTTAGAATGTTAACCGTGTGCTGAAAACACGATAAGGGAGACTGTAACCAATATTCGATCACGGTTCATGTTTGGGGTGCAGACTCGGAGGAGTGACCAAGGAGAAGATAGAGAAAATGATGAGCACATACGAATCTACTATTCAACAAAGAATGTTAGAATAGTTTATCAAGATACAGAAATAAATGTAATGCTATGATTCTATGGAGAGGTTACAGATTAGTGGCTGATGGATCACTATTGGTGCCTATGCCTACATTCAGTAATAGGAATTGCTAATCATTGTTATTCATGACTTACCTAGATTCAGTTCAAGGCCCTTGCATTCAACTCGGATTTGGCGTGATGTAGCGAAAGCAGGAAGTCAAGAAATATATAAAGAGCCTCCCTAAAAATGGCCCCTTTTCGGGAACCCAGGGATTTCATTCGTATGTGGCTTAAATGAAACCTTATGATGAGACAAGCCTCCAGTAAAAATTTTAGCTTGAGTATATGTCTTGTTTCCGAGATACAGCGTTGCAAAGTTGGCATATTTGAGCTTTAAAATTCTCATATTTTTATGGATTTTCTTCCAAAAACCAACTTCAAAAATAACTTTACAATACTTACATGAGGCGCACACGATAATTTATAATATAAAAAGTCTCCAGTAAGAGTTTTGACTCGTGCGTAAGCCTTGTCTTGGCAGTGCAACGTTGCTAAGTTTACATTTTTCAGCTTTAAAAAGCTCATTTTTTAAAGTTTCTCATTCACAAACCGCTATTACTGAAGATCAATCTGTATTTTGGGGCATAAAATCAAAAATTAGTGATACTTGTAGATGCATAGTATAATTTATAAAAGGATACAATAATACAGTGTTGCAAAGTTTTCAACTTGTATCTGGGGAAATGTCTATTTTGTTTTATTTTATTGAAGACAAGATTGAAAAATCGTTGATAAGTGATATTGTGAAGCAAAGAAATGTGGAGGACTTTTGTCAATCTAGGTGAAAATTGGAATTAAAATGGCACTGTTGCCAATTTTATTTAAGTTTCTCTTAACATTCCATTATAAAATAAGTTTAAAATAAGGATACTTCCAATAATTATCTGATTTTAAAACTTAATCCAAGTGAATTTATGGCATACAATGAATAGCTCAGCATCAGTGTTGCTTTCAAAATCTAAAAAATTCTACCTTGCCTTGGATGTCAATTTTACCTTTTTTTTAGGCAGAATGCAAAAACAAACATAAACTATGGAAACGCTCGAGTTTTTTAAGTACAAATAAATCTTGATACAGACAATACATTCATTGTTCCTTAAAGGATAGAATATCTTCGACTTAAGAATTACAAATGATGAGAAAATTAAATAAAAAAATAAATTTAATAGATAATTTTATAAAAAAAAAGAAATTAAAAGAATAAAATATTTAAAATTATTAAAATATTGTTGCATGGATTTGTCAGAAATTATTATTTCGGCATGACTACAAACTATTTTTTCATTATTAAGTTGTTAAAGTTCCATTTTTGTTGAGGGTTGTCCCCATAGTATTAAGACCTCTGTGTCACAGTGACAGCATTCCGAAGGGAATAGGACCAGGCTATTGTCATATTTCATACTTGTATTTCAAAATGAATTTAAGCATTCACATTATGATCTCGGCACTGGATGTAAATTCTTGGTAGAATTCGCTGACCCCTCCATTCTGATAAAAAATACATCCATCTCCCAGTGAAATATATCTGGAAAAAAGTATATTCTCAATACGCAACGGTGCAGTGTCTTGGCAGTGCAAATCATGTCAAGCTCGAGCATGTTGAAAACATATCTTTGATCCAGATGCCCCAAAATAATTGATATACTAGGTAAAAGTAAAAAATCGGCAACATGTTGGGGTACTTGCTATATATTTGAAGGCAAGACTATACTCACGTATCCATTGAAGAAAATATTTTCACGGATATTAATAAATAAATATAAAAGAATTACAAAAGACTAAACAAATTTAAAAAAAAAATAAAAAAAATAAACTAGAAGCATCTTTATTTTAAAATCATTTTATTATTTTTTGTTTGAAAAGAATTATGAATAAACTTGGCAGCAGTATTTTTTCCAAAACCAATCGTTACCTGGGACTGACATCAGCCCTTGATATTTTGCCTTGATACGAGTTAAGATACCCATTGAAGTCGTGTTCAACAAGAAAAAATCATAATCCATGCAGAGTTCAAAGTTTTAAGCATTGGCAACGCTGTATCACCACCGATTAAAGTATTCTTCTTCAAATACAAACATTAATCTACAGATGACATAAATGGTTGATTTCCTGCCTTAAATCGTGATTAAATTCTACGAAATTAGCTTCTTAAACACAGAACTCAAAAATATAGATATTTTTAAAGCTCAAATATATAAACTTTGCAACCCTGTATCGTTAAAACTATACTTGCATTTTGAGTTAAATTTTAACAAAAGCCTTAATCTATATCATGAAATTGCATCTAAACCCCTAAAACATATCTTTTAGCGGTCACTAAGTTCGTTTTTAAGTTAAGAAACTTGACAAAATGAACATTTTTAATAGGTTTTTTATGTCAACTTTGCAACGTTGTTTTAACAGAATTAGTAGTATTAATTTTTCAATAGAAATATGCATTCGATAATAATACTAACATTTGATAAAATTTTACAAAATATCATAAAACATCCAATTGAATCGTTCTCAGAAAATAAGATACCTGAGAATATGAGAATTTTAAAGCTCAAATATGCCAACTTTGCAACGCTGTATCTCGGAAACTGGACGTATACTCAAGCTAAAATTTTTACTGGAGGCTTACCACATCATAAGGTTTCATTTAAGCCACAAACGAACGAAATCCCCGGGTTCCCGAAAAGGGGCCAAAAAAGGCCCTTTTTTAGGGAGGCTCTTTCTGAGAATTACTGTATGGTTTGCGAGAGCTTCATTGAACCTGACGATTCACGTCTCGTTGATAACCTAACCTCCAAGTACCGACAGGGCAGGGCGAGGCAGGGCGGGGCGGCACATCTCCTGACTTGCCGAATTGAATTGAGGATTTTTTATTTAAATCTGCATGATCTATAAAAACTCATTCGCTTATTTATTACTGAAATGCGTAACGGCGTAACGCCGATAATGTTTCATACTTCACACGCATTTGCGTTCTATTCTTGCTTTTATTTTTATTTTTATACAATTTCAACGTGAAACAGGGCAGGCCGGCAGGATTGCAACGCAGGTTTTGTTTTAGAGTCGGTACTGAATCACTTTGTAAACACAAGATGAGTTGTTGGTTATCAGTTATCACTGCCAGTAATGCAAATTTTAATTTTTTTATGTGATTTAATTAGTATCAGCTCGAATTCGAGTCTTCTTCGTTACGAAAGTAATGTTACCTCGAAGTTGGTGAATTTTGATTAACCTGAAAGTAAGCCAGCAGTGTATCGCGATGGACTCTTGGTAATCGATCTTCAAATTTTTATTTTGGCCATGCGTAGAAATAGAATGAAAAAATTCTGATAGATACAACTCAATTCTCATTGGTTTTGCTATTACCGCTATTCGGTTCTTTCTACAATTCAACGTTGGTTTCACACAGGAGATTTGGAAGTATGACGGTTGAGCTTCAGTAAAGGCGATCCTATTGAATAGTTAGTGTCCAAACTAATCTTGCAAAACACAGACGTTTGGTCTCTAATTGACAGACTTTAAAGCTGTACCTACAGGTTCGAAGAAGCTGCGTGTTTTCTGTTTTTTGACAAACTACATATTGCGGTTATTTCAGTTGTCTTAAACAGAGTATAAGCAGCAAATTATTATTACATC